GAACTTGGCAGTGCCCAGGCTTCCGCATAGCGTTTAATCAACAAAGAGGTAACAAGAGCTAAATATACTTTATTGGGGATTGATAATTTTGTAAAAGCATATTTATTCTAGATGACAGACTGTGCGGTGACAAAGTGCAGATGAACCGTGGGGGAAGCCTACACACAAACAAGCCACTCGTGGATAATTTGCTGAGGCGTTGACACTACTTGCCCAGTTTTGTTCAGCGTAGATTTGCCTAAAGCTTGGACGGTTCAGCCTTAGAGAGGACCTCGCGCACTCTACAGATTCCTTGATTCGTACAGTACGTGAAATCGTATCCAATGGTTTAATTGAACATCTCGAGAGGGCGTCAGCCGCGGTGATACGTTTCCCTGGGACGCACGATATAGTGTAGGCGTATTGGACGCATTCGCATTCTCCGAAATGGAGGCGCTAAGTTGTCAAATTTTTTGAATCCAAAAACAGAAACCAGAGATGTGTGGTCAGTTTCGTGGTTGCGAACTTCTCCCGAGCAGAAAGTCTCGAAATATTACAAATGCCCAAACTGGGGCCAGGCTTCGATTTGAATTTGGGAGGAGCGGCGCTTGGTGTCAGGGAGGACTCTTGATGCCTAACTTCTGCCGCATGGCGGCACCCAATCCGCACGAAAACGCGTCTGCCGTCACCACTGCCTTCTTGTAGCGGTCGCAGATGCCGAGAGCAGTGTGTGATGACAAGACGGGATTCTGCTCTTAGAAAGCTTTCTCTTGAAGGTTTTGCCAAGCACAAAGTTCTGCTTGGACCACATCTGTTAATACTGCAGTTTGGGCGAGTTGGTAGCGCATAATCCGGGGACCAGCGCGCAGGTAGACAGTCAGTCAATAGATCCAAGCACACAAAAATGCACTCACAGCGCTCAACTATAAACTCTTCATATGTCCTTCGTCTAACTTCTTCGACCACAAGCAACTAGATTCTAGCATAAAACAGAGCGAGAGGAAAAGTGAAAAGCAATGAAAAGAAAGAAAAAAAGTAGAAGACAACAAAGAAATTATAAGTGCAAACATAATCTAATAGAGTACCTAAGAAAGCCCGGGATACACTGCCATACTGTCGAGTAAACCGCCTGTCTAAATGCTATAGATCAGTATATCCCCGGCTTATGCACTTTTTTTAGATAATTTTGGTTGTATAATCTTTGTAAGCTATTTTTAACTCGGTCTTTTTGTAACTTTTGGAATTAGGTAGACTAAAGATGCATTCGTCAGTAGACCGGTATATCCCCTGGGTTCTTTTTATATTTTCATATTCTTTTTTATTTTTTCTAACTTTTGAACTCGGGATTATCCTCCTGTATTTCCTTGTCTTCTCTACTTCTCTGTGACTTTTACTTCTCCTCCCTTTTCCTTTTCTCACTTCTCCTCTGTCGTGTTTTGAAGCTGGCATCCTGTTTCTTGTGATCGAAGAAGTTTAACAAAATGCATCGGAAGAGTTTATAGTTCGGCGCTGAAGGAGTGTATTTTTGTGGGAATTAATTCTTTTGAGTGACTAACTACCGGTGCACGGGAACGTGGATCATGCCTTGAAAACTCGCCCAACCTGTTGTATTAAGAGGTTTGATTTCTAAAACGTCGTGGCCTTTTCTGCGCCTTTCGTTGAACTCACAAGATTTGATCACTATGATAGCCATATCCATCTGCCAATCACGCTTCTTCGGGTACTGCGTTCAAGTACACAGGCAGCATCCCAAGAGGTGCCAATGACAGCATAATACTGGACAACACTATAAGCCTATTGGCTCTTCGTTGGAAGTGGTATCCAATTTGTACAGTGGGATGCGAATGACTGCCCAATATAAAACAACATTTGAATCCGAATGAAACTTTAATGGAAGTGGTTTCCAATGTATCCCTTGGGGTGCCAATGACCGTCCAATAATAGGCGACATCGAAAGCTCATTGGCACCAGATTAGAAGTGGTTTACAATTTATCGAATGGGATCCCAATGCATTCCCAATATTGGTCATAGAAAGGATAAAGTGGGCCGATGATAGCCCTATTTTCCCAAGATATTTCCAACATTGGCCCAATGGCCTGTACTGCCTGGGATATTTTGGGTTTTGTCTGTTTTGTTCAGTTTATGATTAATTCCTTTTGGTCGATAGTGGGGCTGCACTTTACATTAATTTTTAAAAACTTCTTTGTTGGAAGGGGTGCTATAAGGCAATATTTTTATGTGGATTGCCCATGTAACGTCCTTTGCAGCTTCCAACGATTCCTCAGACCTCCCTGAATCGACAGAAGAGGGTGGGTGCCCCTTTTTGTTTTTCTCTGCGAACTTTCGGTTACAACGGTGCATATTTCTAATGCGTGTGAATCTTTAATTTTGCAGGAATATGGTAAGTCTAAATATTAAAAAAATTCAACGTGTCATCACTTTCAGAGCAGTATCTATGAACACTGCCTAAAAAGTGCCCTAAATAGTACTAGTATGGGTGATCAAACGATTTGATATTTTTGATTACTCATCATGTTGTCCGAAGCATATATTCAGCTTAGATCAAAGAAGAACTATTAATGATGGTAGTCCGTGAATTATGTTTCTGAATAAATGTGAGATGTAAGTTTTTTTAATCTTTTTAGCCTGGCAACCAATTTTCCTGCTTTGATTTCTAAATAAATATTCCAACGTTAAATAGCGTCACACGAGTCACATTCTGTATTTTAATATATGCATATGGGAAACTCCCTGATGCTTCGACTGGAAAGCATAGAGAAAAATATATTTACAAAAGTAATTGTAAGTAACTACGAACGAAATTATATTCTGATGAAACACAAAGCTCCCCAAAGAAAAGAGAAGTTTTCCGAGCACAAGAAACTCGACCTACATATTTGAAAGGAGAACTTTCCACAACAAAAATTCTAAATCTTGAAGCATCCCTGTGATAGATTCTAAAACATATTTCTGAGCTGAACTAGGTTTGTCATAAGTAAAGAACAAAAAAAAATTGTTATTCTTTTCAGCAGTAATAATACATTATATCGACATCTTGTAAACCGTGAGATGGGGAACCATAAAAAAACGGACGAACACAACAATATCGCTTATCGTTCCCCATCTCAGGGTTTACAAGATGTCGATTAATTACCTGCCCGCCTGCACTCTCTCACTGCTTACTTTATATCACACGATTTTGAGATCAAAGAGCAGACGTCGAATTCTGTCAACTAAAGGAAACGAATAGTGTTATTAGCACACTGATTGCAATCACGATCCTTGCTAAGAGAATAAACGATAAATGCCCATACAGCCGACGTTTTCTTGTAGATTATTTTTAGCAAGGTTTCGCTAACTTTTTTTTTGTGTCTAGTACGATTTCCGCTTAATGAGTCGGCTGTATTGTGCATTCACTGTGCCTTATACACAACCCAGTGCCTTTAAGTATATTGAGATCCCTTTATACTTCAGATATAATATGCAGTATATTAAATTTGATTTCAAACATACTTTTAAAAAAAGGGGGTGAAATTTCGCCAAGTTCCGTCTTCACGATGCATTTATCAAGCTCTTCGCACATTATACATAAGAGAATGGTCATGGTTGTATTTCGGTCAATTCACTAAGATTGGCGAAATAAATCCTGTATTTTCGAATTTAAGAGTAGTGTTAACCTAGCGTTATCGTCGGCAAATCCTATTAAAGCCAGATCGAATAAATGTATGTGCACAAATGTAAGAGTTTTCGAGATACTATTTGATTAATGTTGCCATTGTTAGCCCGATTTGAAAATTGCCTGCGGAGACAGTGCCGCAACCTCTGCCCACACTGAGGCCAACAAAAATGACGAAGTCGTTTTAGTCACGTCGTCGCTTGTGTCGTCGGGGCATCCACCAGGGGCACGCTGCAATGTTACTGCATTACGTCAGTCATAGAACTCAGGCGGAGGAGGTTATCCCCCTCACTCCCTTCAATCCGTCTGCCGTTGCTAGAAGTGCCATCTATGCTCTCGTTTCAAAACTGTGTGCTCCATAGAGTAGGGTGAAACGCCATCTAAACTCTATGTTTTGAAACATGCGTATTGTCTATGATTTTATAGACCTTTCGAAAAAGAGCTCAGACGCCGGCGCGATTTCGGTCTATACGCCAAAGACTTCTGCCGCCATCTCTGGATCGTGAAAACCCGCTCAGCGCGACTCTCCTCCTGTACTGTACGTTCAGGGTTTGCCGTCCGATCTTGAAAGTTATTTATTATAGAGATTTAGTAGACCGTATTTCCGCCTCTGCTACGATGAAACCGCTACTGCGCCTGCGCGCCGATGGCCTTGGCTGTCGAGTCCCCGGCAGCAGAGACGCTTAGCGGAGGGAGAAACACGGTCTACTAAAACTCGCTATTATTTGCCTCTTCAGGACGCTTACCTTTTCTGTGTTGTGTTCCACCGTGAAAATCAGGAAACATCCGGGCTCTTAGCCTGCTCGGCCTTCACAGAAAACGAGGGGAAATATCAACCGTCGAACGGACCACGACGCGGGCTGTTCGGCGCTTTTCGAGGATCATCTTCGCTGCGATAATCTTTGGAATCCTTCAAGGTCTTCGCGACAAATAGCTCGTCGGGTGCGGGGTGGGGGACAATTCAGACACTTCCGTTTTATTGCTTCGGTGATGCGCAAAAACGAAGCTCTCTTCAAAACGCACCCTAAAACAAGTTTGGATTTCGTCCGTTTGTCGTAAAGAGAGGGTCCTCGAGACTGTAAATTGGATATGATGTGTCAGTGTAGGTCTTTTGGCAATAAACCCTGTTCGGATTACTCTGCACTTTGGGGTAGGTACAGTATGCTGTTTGATACATGAGACTTGTTGAACTTTTTTTGTTTTTAACTTTGAATACCCATACGTTTTGGCTACATTGTCAGTTCGAAACTTTATATCAGTTAACCCTCTACTGCATGAATTATTAAAACGCTTCCTTAAAAAGTATTTTTCTTCGGAATATTAGAATTGGAGTCGATGCATACATTTGTGAAAAAGCAATCACGTTTATTGATCGTGTTTTTAACAAAAAACAAATGTTTACCATATATGGCACACTATGCACATGAGACGCCATTCTTGGTACGTAGCGTTAAATCAGCGTTCTCTATGATGTGTGGAAAGACACGAAACAGTTATTTCAAGCATTCAAACAGAGGTGAACATTGCACTTGGAACAACGCACGGACAATTTTTTTTAACACAACAGATGCTTGCATCTTTGCCTTTTATTGTAAAACTCTGGCCAGTGCCCCACTTTATCGGTTCGGTCACCTTTACCAGGTGCACTTTCCGCTGGTCCACGAGCATTCTTCGATTGGGGCTGTGCTTGAGAGTTGTGGTAGGATGGCCTTCCAGGTCTCCTGTTGGGTATAGACGTGTTCTGACGGGTCAGACTTTTGACAACTTCTGCCTTGACTTCTGCAAGTGCAAGGACCTTTTGATTCTCAAGCTGGGCCTGTGCCCTTCGGTACAAAAGCCACGTGGCTACAACTGAAAGATCAAGCATCTGTGTGAAGATTCTGAAGTACCATTTCTTTGACCTTATGTGGATACGGTAGAGGCCAAGGAGAGAGTCAAGAAGGTCTACACCCCCCATGAGCTTGTTGTACTTTTGTACAATATCGGGACAGTCGATATCCGTGAACTCCTTTTTAGGAGAAGACCAGCGCTTTGCTTTTTGCACTGGAGATTGCCCCTGAAAGTAGAAAGGAACGTCACTGCGCGATTGTCAAACCAGCGCGCGCAGGAGAGTTCAAAGCCGTCCAGTTCGCCCATTAGTTCCTCTAAAGAGCCTCTTCCTTTTTTCCTTAGCTCTTTTTCGGACTTCAGCTGACAACCTCGCAGCCTGTTCGCCCGGACAGTCCCTAGCGATAGTATTCCGGCTTTGGACAGCGTTACCTGCAGCTTCGGGCTAGTAAACTTATTGTCGAAGTAGACCTTGTGCTTGACATGATGTGGGACCGATCAAGTGAGGCGAAGACTGACGTTTCCGCTGCACCGCAGTTGGCAGCTTTGTCTACACCGATATTCTCTTGGCCAGTGTAGAGTTCAAAGTTATAAGGGAAGCCAGTGACTCCTGATAAGACAAATATTTTGTACCCCCCATCGATGCGGTTCTTTGGGTTATATAACTTTAGTGCACTCCTTCCCTTGATCGCGCGAATTTGCACCTCCACCGAAAGGTCTTCTTCAAACGGGACTGAGAAACAGCGTTGTTCTATGCTTTCCATCAAAGGCCGGATCTTGTGTTGCCTGTGTGACCGTCTTGTCCTTTCGGCACTGCCGTGAGGTTGTGAGAAAAGTAAATAAAAAAAAACAAAAAAACTTCACCCCTTTCCATCGGTTCACAGGCATCAAACTTGCCACTTGGGGAACATAGAATCTTGGGCTCCCATACATCCTGGTTCGTGGCAGTTGGATCGGGGACATCCACAATAGAGACCCGATGAAAACCTCCGTGTCCGCGTCGGTCAGCGAAAAGGGCTTTTCAGGCCTCGATTAGGCCGAATGAAAGCACGTGTTTTAGTGATCATACGAAAACATTCAGGCGTAAATATGTGCTGAAAAAAGTCGTTCGGAGTTCCCAGCTCCAGAACTGACGAAGGCAAATAGCTGTTACCAATGAACATCAATTCAGACTCGTCGATAGTCAGATGACCATGCTTCCACACAATTTGGTCTTGATTGTTATTGCGGCTGGACATCGTGGGAAGTGTAGATAATCCAGAATCTGTATCGCTGTCCGAATCGTCTGCTGAAATGTTCCCCTGATCTAAAACGAAAAAAAAACCTTATTTATTTAGCTGATTTCAGGAACACAAGAACAAGTTCAACTTGTAAAAAGTGTCTATAGGACAACTAGAAACCGCGAGATACACTGAACATCACATGGAACACATTCCGCTGACGGCTCGCCTCACAGGGGGTTTCATGCACTGTACCTATCACCTGAGTTGTAGCCGTGACTGTTTCAGTAGTGATCTGGTTAGATTATTGAATTCTACTGTCATTTGTAAGGGCACCTAAGCACCATCAACCGCACCTAAGCTCTGTCCAAAACGACCTAGAGCTGGCACGTTTACGTGGGCAGGCATCATTCAAAGCGAAGCGCCAATCAATCGCTGCAAATCACTAGCACGTGTTTTTTTTTTCTCCAACTGACATGGTAGTTCATCTCCATCCGACTCGGACAGGTCAGTGTCCTCGCTTTCAGATAGAGCTTTGCGGCTGCCGGCGCAGCCCGTACGAAGAGCACTCCGTGGCACAGTTTCGCTTTCGAATGGCACCGGCACCCGGTGTGCAGAATGTTCCGAATTTGGCACATGGCCATTTTTATCCCGAAGCCGTAGTTGCGCGCAAAACACGGCAGTCTAACATTGAATATATAATGTTGAAAAGTCCCACTAAATAGGTATATTTTTTAAACCAATCTGTATGTATACATATTGACAAAAGAAAAAGTAAAAACTGCAGTTTGGGAGACAGACTTTAGCGTTCACGCCCAAAGAAAATACTTCAGCCTTGCATATCTCTCAACGGATAGCGCCACCTGCTCTGTGCCAAATATGGAACATGATGACCATAGGACGCGACTCCGACCATCTTCCCCACACTCGAAGAAAAAAGGTAGTCACAGGCAGTCACAGACCCCAGAGGTAGTCAGAGACTACCTTTGGGGTGGTAAAAAGTCGTCCCAAATATAACGACCCCTAGGGTAAACATGACGACTCCACACGTAGTCAAAAAGCAGGTAGTCAAATTTGATTACCCCCAAAAGCAACATGGCGGCCGGTTAGCGAGGCTCGGATTTCCCGGTAAGGCCTAGCGAATAGCACGGCTTTTCGGCCGAGGGAGAGAATAGGGCGCATACGCCTATTCGACGTCTTCCAATTGCCACGAGACACTCTAAACATCCGTCCTTAGGCACCAGTACCGTAGCTATTAGCCGGAAGGACGGCAGCGTGTTTTCTGGAATCGCCGCGATTGCACCCAACGGCATCTCGCTAGATTGACTGTATTTTTACCGCCGGCGGAAAATGCTCAAAAAAGAAATCGTAACGCGAGGAATGGGTATGCTGAGTTTATTGAAGACAACGTACACTTGTCGTATGCGGCGATGAATCCCTGGGCACCCTCGTGAACACTGACGGGAGGCCGTTCAACTCGCGCCAACACCCCGCAACTTGCACGCTTGCTTTCTCTTTTTTTTATTTCTTTTTTTCCTATCTATTCTTGTTTGTGCCTACTCAACCGACGTGGTTATCCATTGCTGCCGCACTTCGCAGCTCTTCGACACAGAACAATAATTTAGGTGGCTGAGCGGCACAATTATTACGATTGCTATCAAGCTGAGAGGCACGTAGGGAGCCCAGTGGACCGCATGCCAGCCGTTTGTAATCAATTGGTACAGGCTTGCACAACACTTAGCTTATTGAATCAGGCGGCAGCTTGCGCCACCTAGGAAATGTGGCAGCAACCGCTAGATGGTACTAAAAAATGCTCATTCACCGACTCCTACTGCTGAACTGCGTACTGCACGCACAACAATTCATGCACCAACACACACCAACCACGACACCAACCACGACACCAAACACTGTAGGCACATACACATAAACAGTACAACAAGGCACAAGGAACTGCAACACAACACCTCCGCGACTCTCTACTCTAACCACTCTACCGACCCGAATCGTATATATGCCCTACCATGTTCTGACAAGGATTAGGCAAGTGACTCCCGCTGTTCAATAAATGAATACAAAGAGTTGTCTGCAAGTACAATTAGTATACAGGTGCTCTGTGTATTTAAATTGGCAGGCTAGACACCTCCCTTAATCTAGAGCTTCGAGAGGCAACATGATATGAAAGTAATCGGCTAAAGTAACGCCACATGGCATGCTTCCGATCAGTTTCGGTTTCAAATTCACGCAGTGATAAGCTTACTAATGCCATGCTGCCCCATGCTCGTTTCGCGCGTGTAATAGCAGCAAAAATTACAATAGACAGTTTTAGTATAGCGTTGCTGGCTCTTACGTACGCAATACGCAATAGTATAGCGTACGCTAAAAATGACCTGCTCGGACCGAATTTAGTTGTGCGTTACGTTTTCGAGTGAACACCGCGCATGATCTTGGTTAAATTTGCTAGAGCCGCACAATTCCACGGGCTTATAGCACAGCCATGCTCCTGGAAAGAATATTGAAAATGAAAACGTGTCCAATCATTTTATTTCAAATTAAACCAAGCCGCAGCTGCCTCGTCAAGCGCGCTTTTCTGCGGGGTACTGAGGCTACGAGTAAAGGCCGGTTCAGACACTTGCGTTTGAGTGCGTTTGACTGCGTTGCGTCGAGAACCAAGAGCGAGTCACCGGCACATCTGTGCTTCGTGTGAAGCGTGCAATCCAATTCAAAGAATCATCTTAGCACGCGATATAAGTAGCAGGGATGTCCTGGTTTCTCGCTGCCGCAACGCAGTCAAACGCAGTCAAGCGCAACTGTATGAACCAGGCTTAAGAGTGCGTAGCCAATTTCGATGACGGAGCCTCCGTCAATCTTCCCTTTGAAACGGCACCTTTTATCAATGCTATCGCGGAATGAAATTCATGACCTACTGATGTCCAGTACATAGCGAGAACTTCGGCGATTTCTTTTAGAGTCGCTCGTCCGTCGGCGATGAACTGTGCGAATAGGCTTAGCGTTGAGCAGATCGCAGCGTTGACGCACATTCCGAGCGGCGAACATTTTCACTGTGCACTCCTTCAGCTGCACGGCGATCTGATTCGACCGCCGTAGGTTTCGGAAAGAATTGCCGAGCTGAACACCACGCAATTTCACGTAACACAGAACTTCGAAAACACCACGTCGCCTTTGCTGCGCCAGTCGAGGTAACCGCCATCTTGAAACTGGAGCTCTCATTGGGTCCGAGATCTCTCGAGAACGTCCCGCAGAGCCCGCTAGCCCGCCACGCAAAATCCCCAGCGTTGCGTGCGTACGCAATACGCTAGCTCTTTTATTGCGTTCTGCGCACGCGCACTCCCGACCCGCAATTTTACTGCGTACGCAAGGCTTTAGCGTACGATCCACTAAAACTGTCTAATAAGTCAGTAATCGGCTAACGGTAACATAGTTCTTATTCTTGTGTTGTTTAATTCGTTTTATTTTTCATTTAAATTTAGTGCTTGAGAACAGGTGACAATTGTAGCGGGCAAACGCTGGTGGCACGCTTCCCCGTGTTCGTCGAGTGACGGATGAGTCGCTCTACTCGCTCCACTTTAAAAAACCCAAAATTAAACAAATGAAAAAAGGAAAAGTATTGGGGCACACTTTTATATATAAAAAAATAGCAAAGCCGAGATCTTTTTTATGTGCTGCATTAGGAGAACATATACAACCCTATGAAATTATTTCACATCTTTTATTTTTGTGATGACAACAAAAGGTTGGCACTTGTCAAGCATGGGGACACTTCATATAAACAATGTATTAAGCTTAAAACATTAGGGCATTACAACCAAAACTATACTGTATATAAAGTTGCTATAATGGAGACAAAGTGTTCAGGTGGCAATCGTTTGTATTCTTTTATTTTCCAAACCTGATATACAATCTTATATTGAAAATATTTTCATTTAAAAAATAACTAAACGTTTTAAAACAACCTTGTAGGTACTTTTGAATTGTGGTGACGTACGCACGCACCGACCCAGCCGCTCCTGAGAGAACTTTTCTCCGCTCGATCGAGCGGCCCTGGAGAGCGTCAGATTACCTTACCCGACTCAATTGCTGCGTCGTCGACGGATGTTGACGCACGCTTACGTAAGTCCGCGCAACATCCGTTGCACCACATTAGATAACATCTTGGCAATCACACCATAGCACTGCCAATACTGCTGTCTCATCTGGCTGACGTATTGCCTCGCAATTGCACCAGTTCACGCCATCGCGAGGTAACCCTCAGCACGAGGGTTTAGAAGGAGTCGGGACAGAGGACTGGACGGAGACGAGACGGACCGAGACGATATTTGCCCATCCACCTGGACTGACGACGACATCGATGCTGCATCATTATTCTAAAGTTGGACAAATAATAACCAGTTAATTCAATAAAAAGTTAGTGTTCTCACCAACCGTTCCAGACCATTATAACTTCCGAGTCAAGTCTAAAACAACCCGAGACGCTACAGTGGTGACCCGGTTTTCCTCAGACAATAATCCCAGCTCAGCCATGCCGGACGAGGAGCCCGTCTCCAGCACTGTTTCCGCAGTCGCCCTCAAGCTTCCCCCTTTCTGGCCAGCGGACCCGCAGCTGTGGTTCGTCCAAGTCGAGTCTCAATTCGCCATTCGACGAATCACGGCTGACATGACGAAGTACCACCATGTCGTGTCCAGCCTCTCCCCAACCATCGCCACAGAGGTGAGGGATCTGCTACTCACACCGCCAGCCGTCGATGCCTACAGCACCCTAAAGGCACAGCGGATTCGCCGCACAAGCGCCTCAGAGGAGAAGCGTCTACGGCAACTCTTGACAGCAGAGGAACTTGGCGACCGCACTCCAACGCAGCTGTTGCGTAGGATGGAGCAGCTCCTCGGAGACAAGGCGACATCCATCGACGAGTCCCTCCTCCGCGAGCTCTTCCTGCAACGCCTGCCGAGCAACGTTCGGATGGTGCTTGCATCAGCGGGGGACATCGGCCTCGCCAAGATCGCCGAGCTTGCAGACAAGATCATGGAGGTCTCTACCCCGTCCCCAAACATCTCAGCAGCCCACACCCGATCCAGTCCAGACGAGGTGCGTGAACTACGAGCCAAGGTCGCGCGTCTCGCTGATCTTGTAGCAAAATTGCAAGCTCCTCGTGGCCGCCGCGCATCACGCGGGCGTTCCCCCGCCGGACGCCAGTCTCACTCCTCCTCCCGCACGGACACAGGCGAGTGCTGTTATCATGAACGTTTTGGCGCCGAAGATCTTAAATGCAAGCCCCCTTGCACCCAAGCGGAAAAGGAGAAGGCCGAGCACTAAGGGTGGCAAGTGCTCCGCCGATCTCCACAGCCGCCGATCCTTGTTTTTTGTGACGGACGGCACCTCTGGTGTTCGCTACCTCGTGGACACCGGGGCAGAGGTTAGTGTTGTCCCTGCAACCGTACAAGATCGTCGGCACCCCAGCACGTCGCAACTTCGTGCCGTGAACAACTCGGCCATTTCGACATACGGTGCGCGTTCCCTGACACTCGATCTCGGACTGTGGCGCACTTTTCGCTGGGTTTTCATCTGCGCGGCCATCCCGCACGCAATTCTCGGAGCAGACTTCTTAACGCGTTTTGGGCTGCTGGTGGACGTCAAGGGACGACGTCTTCGAGACGAAACGACACGACTCACCGTCCAAGGCATCGCCTCGTCTCTGCAGTCTATCAGCCCCACATTCGCGTTTCCAGCTGAGGAATCCCCGTACACGCGGCTGCTCGGCGAGTTTCCACAGCTGACGCCCGTTGGACCAGACGAGTGCCCTATCCAACACACCGTGACGCACCACATCGAGACGTCAGGAGCACCTGTCCACACGCGTCCCCGCCGGCTACCCCCAGACAAACTACGGGTCGTCCGACAACAGTTCGAACACATGC